GCCAGCACGGCCCACGTGCCTCCGCGTGGTGTGGCATCCTCCAGCAACATCCCCACGCGCCTGGGCCTGGTGCACCACCGCATGTGCCTCCACCTCAGCCTGGTGTGGCATCCTCTAGCATGCCTGGGCTTGGTGCGCCCCATGTGCCTCCGCCCCAGCATGATGCAAGTGCGGCTAGCACACCTCCGTCTGGTGTCAATGAACGTCCACCAAGTGTTGTGCTTATTCCACCAGTGGCAAACGAGCACAGCATGATGACGCGCGGGAAGCATGGCTTTCGTCAACCGAAGACTCCATTCAATCTTCATGTTGTTGCCTTATCTCTGGTGCCCAGTTCCTATCGCAGTGCACTGGCAGATCCGAACTAGAGAGAGCAATGACTGAGGAGTGATCGCCAATAATACATGGGAGTTAGTTCCTCGTCCCTCTAGAGCCAATATTGTGACCGGCAAGTGGGTTTATCGCCATAAGTATCGTGCTGACGGTTCTCTTGAGCGATAGAAGGCTCGTTGGGTTCTTCGAGGTTTCACTCAACGTCCTGGAGTTGATTTTGATGAGACCTTCAGTCCCGTGGTCAAGCCTGCTACCATTCGCACAGTGCTCACAGTTGCTCTCTCTCATGATTGGCCTGTTCATCAGCTTGATGTCAAGAATGCTTTCTTGCATGGCACCCTCGATGAGACGGTGTATTGTGTGCAGCCTGCTTGTTTTGTTGACAGCTCCCGCCTGGATTTTGTTTGTCGCCTGAACAAGTCTCTCTATGGCCTGAAGCAGGCTCCCCGTGCTTGGTACAATAACTTTGCCTCTCACATTCTCTCCTTGGGTTTTGTGAGTGCCAAGTCCGACACATCATTATTTATTTATCGACACGGCGGTGATACAGTCTACTTGCTTCACAGCCTCCTCCACACCTCTTCTCCGCCAGGTTATTGCAGCACTCCAGCAGGAATTCGCTATGAAGGATCTTGGTCCTCTGCACTATTTTCTGGGCCTCACCGTCACTCGTCACGATGACGGTTTCTTTCTTTCACAGCGTTCCTACATCCTGGAGATTCTTGAGCGTGCAGGCATGCGCCACTGCAAACCGTGTTCGACACCCGTTGATACATTAGCAAAAGGTCTCTGGCACGGAGGGATCCCCGGTCGCTGATCCGACTCATTATCGAGGTCTGGCTGGTGCATTACAGTACCTCACCTTCACTCGCCCAGATATTTCTTATGTTGTCCAACAGGTGTGCCTTCATATGCATGATCCCCGAGAGCCACACTAAGCCTTGATTAAGCATGTTCTCCGTTATCTGCATGGGACATTAGATCACGGTTTACAGCTTCGGCGCATCACCACATCGACTCGGTTGCCTATTCTGATGCGGATTGGGCCAGATGTCCTGACACTCGCCGCTCCACCTCTGGTACGCGGTCTTTCTTGGTGATAACCTTGTCTCTTGGTCATCGAAGCGGCAACCCACTGTTTCTCGTTCCAGTGCTGAAGCCGAGTATCGCGCTGTCGCCAATGCTGTCACCGAAACGACTTGGTTACGACAGCTACTTCAGGAGCTGCATATTCCACTCCAGCGTGCCACTGTTGTTTATTGTGACAATGTCAGTGCAGTATATCTCTCGACGAACCCGGTGCAGCATCAGCGCACCAAACACATCGAGATTGATCTTTACTTTGTCCGAGAACGCGTAGCGGCTAGCGTGGTTCGGGTGTTGCATGTTCCCACTTCTTCCCAGTACGCTGACATCTTCACTAAGGGGTTGCCGTCTTCGGTCTTCACTGAGTTCCAATCCGGTCTGAACATTGTTCCTTGTGGCTAGTCACGTTCTGACTGCGAGGGGATGTTAGACTATCATTATTCGTGCATGCTATTGTTTCCTTTTGGATTACTTCCATGTACGTAGTTGCCATACATGTATGTACGTGATGATTGTGTCCATGCACGTACATACTGATTGATTGGATTGAGCTCCTTTCCTATCTTGCCGGACTTTGCTTCTATGAGCCGGCTATGATATGGACGCTCTTCTATATATGTATATTGCCTACTCATTGATCAATATACTGAGATTTATCTCGCTATCACCTACGACATCATGCTTAGGGCACCAGAGGTGAGGAAGAAGAAGACGCAGAGCTTCCATGAAGCTGCTGCGGAATCCTATGGTAGTGGCTCCTTGACCGGTTCGAAGAAATCAAAGGGTTCAGTGTCGATATCTGATGACCTGCGCTCGAAGAATCCTGTCCATGATGACCGAAGAGAGGAAGAAGAGGAGGTTCTTTCACCTCTGAAGAACCAGGGTTCTAAGTCGGATAGTGATACCCGAAAGGCAGCGGACGCAAGCCGTTTGTTATTTCAGAGCAAGAAAGATGAGTCTCAAATTGTGCCGCGGAAGAGGAAAGCAAAAGGTTGCGGAGGTAGTTCATCCTTGACCCCGGACCTCAATCTTCCGGTGATCGATACGTCAGCCCTTGTTCCAGCGGGACTGGTGTCAGAGAGAGTGAATCAACTAGGTAAAACTGGTGGAGAGGTGGTAGCAACTGCTTCGGAGGCATCGCCAAAGAAGGAAAAGAGATCGAAATCTCATACACATGCACTATCGATGGCGGCTGCGGGCGGCAGTCCCCGCCGGGCTTGGGGCGGCCCGAGGCAGTTCAAGAAGTGCATAGCTTGGTACAACTACATCGCTCGATGGTGGTTTTTCTCTCGGAGACTCGACGCTTCTCCAAAGATGTGCAAGGTCTGCGGAGTAGCTTGGGTTTCCCAAATGGTGTGGGGGTTGGAACCTATGGCCGTGCTGGGGGTCTCGCCCTACTATGGACCAATGAGGTCTGTGTGAAGCTGCAGACGTACGACAAGCTTCATATAGACGTGATGGTGGTGGATCCAGTCTCTGGTGCGGATCAGTGGCGTTTTACTGGTTTTTATGGTGAAGCCAGGAAAGAAAACCGGTATCGAAGTTGGGAACTTATGCAGTTTCTGAGTGTTCAAAGCAATGCTCCTTGGCTCTGTGCCGGGGACTTCAACGAAATACTAGAAGCTAGCGAGCAGTTTGTGTGTGTGTGTGTGTGGGGGGGGGGGGGGGGAATGGGGTGGTGCAGCGGCCGGAAAGACAGATGGATGGCTTCCGTGATGCTGTGTCCGTGTGTGGTTTCTTTGACTTGGGTTTCTCCGGGCTGCCGTACACCTGGGATAACCGTCAAGAAGGAATCCACAACATCAAAGTTAGACTTGACAGAGTTTTCGCTAATGCAACTTTCGCGGATGTGTTCAAGCAAATCAAGGTTTCTCACGAGCAAACAACAGAGTCTGACCATTGTTGCTTAGTGATTGAATGCAACCGATCCAAGCGAGGTAGAGGTAGAAGAAAGAGGAGCTTCAAATATGAGAACATGTGGAGGAGGGAACCTTCCTACCTACAGCTGGTTAAAGATACCTGGGGGGCTGCAAACCACGTCCAAGATTTAGATGCACTGCAAGACTCGCTGGGAAGGATGCGATAGGCTTTTCAGGAGTGGGATCACTCGGTTTTTGGCTCGGTCAGGCTGGAGTTGAGCAAGCTACGCCGCGAGCTGAAGAATGAGAGGAGTTTTTTCATTTACTCTGGATCATCTAGGCGGAAAAGACAAATAATGACTCGTATTTCTGAACTTCTAGCAAGGGAGGAAATAATGGAGAAGCAGCGGGCGCGCACGACTTGGCTGAAAGAAGGTGACAGGAACACCAAATTTTTCCAGGCGAAAGCGAAGGAGCGGGCCAAGACCAACCACATTACGGCCTTGAGGAATGAGGACAGCCAATGGTGATCTGGTCACTGGGCAGACCGAGATGGAGACCATGGCTGCGGATTTCTACGGGGATCTGTTCACAGACCAACCGGTCTTGGAGCCAGATGAGATACTGGAACATGTGCCGCAGCGTGTGACTGAGGCGATGAATGAATCGTTGGAGAGTCCGTTCTCAGAACAGGAGGTGGAGCGGGCTCGATCTATGATGGGTGCTCATAAGGCCCCGGGGCCTGACGGGTTTACAGCCGGCTTCTATCAAACACATTGGGAGACGGTGGGTCCGAGTGTGACTAGAGCAGTTCTGAATTTCCTAAATGGTGGTCAGCTACCGGAGAGGCTATCAACCAGACAACGCTTGTGTTGATCCCAAAGATAAAACATCCACAGGACCTCAAGAACTTTCGACCGATCTCTCTATGCAATGTGATTTATAAGCTGTGTTCTAAGGTGCTCGCCAACAGGCTGCGAATGTTTTTAGACGAAGTTATTTCTGCAGAGCAGAGTGCGTTTGTGCCTGGCCGCCTAATCACGGACAATGTACTTGTAGCCTATGAATGCACTCACTATCTCAAGCGAAAGAAGGGGAAATTGGGGGCATGTGCAGTCAAGCTCGACATGGTGAAGGCCTATGATCGAGTAGAGTGGAATTACCTCCAAGATATGATGCTGAAATTGGGCTTTGCAGAGAGTTTTGTGCATACTGTCATGAGATGCGTCACCTCGGTATGCATTCTCAGTACGGGTGAATGGGAAATTGTCAACTCCGTTCAAGCCGTCAAGAGGGATTCGCCAAGGGGATCCTATCTCCCCATATCTCTTTCTACTGTGCTCTGAAGGTCTATCATGCCTGCTGAGGGCGGTTGGACCGGCGCACCTGTCCAGGGGTGTGAGAGTTGGGATCCATGCTCCATGGGTCTCACATCTTCTGTTTGCAGACGACTGCATTGTTTTCTCGGAAGCCTCCCAGAGAGGGGCTCAACCATTGCAAGACATTCTGGATATATATAGCAGAGGGTCGGGGCAGCTGGTAAACAGAGACAAATCAGCGGTCTTTTTCAGTGCTAATTGTGATGATGCTTGCAAGCAAGAGGTGAGGGAAGTTCTACATATTGATAGTGAAGCCTTGGCAGAGAAGTATCTGGGCCTTCCAACTGCCCTGGGGCGTGCAACAAAGGACGCCTTTGAATTTATGCCAACCAGGATAAGAAATCTAGTTGGAACGTGGAGCGGCCGTGAAGCAAGCTGTGCGGGCAGGGAGGTCTGAAGCTGCTACAACAGCATTCTCATGGTTGTTGTTCAGGACTTCCCTATTAGATGCTGCAGCAACGAAACACCAAGAAATGTAAAAATATGAATGACTGAGCAGCAACGATTTACCAATTCAAGCCAGACCTACCTTAGCTGTTTTATTTTTACTCTTTTCTTATAAAAAATTATGACAACAGCAAAATCGTGAGCTGCTGATCCATTTTGCTTACCTCACTAAATCACTAGATCCTGTGGTTTTAGTAGTTTATTTTTAGTGTTTCCTATTCAGAGCAATATCACGATTCTGTTCTGATGAATTATCAGTCACTAGCTGATAATAATTGCTGGTACGGTAGTAGAACACTACAGTGGACAAAGAAATAGGACCATACCTCTTTCTATGTTTACTGCAAGAGAACCCACAATATCTTTTGGTTCACTGCTCTCATCATCATTTCTTTTTCGTGCATTGTGAAGGCAGAACACCAACACGAAAAGAACACATGAGGCAGCAGCTATTGAGCCAACCGCTATGCCTATAAGAGGACCTGTTTGCATCTTCTTGTCGTCTTGATCAATAGGAGTCTCTGGGATAGTTGGAGCACTAACAGGTCCTTGAGGATCGTTTGGCTGATCATGTGGATTCAGAGTTGGTGGCGGGGAGGCAGGCATATTGACAAATGAGTTTCCTCCAACTCTGTGGTTGCAATTGCACCAACACATCAGCATGTATGTACTTGATGATTATAATAGAAAAGAGAAAAATAAAGCATACTTGTGCATACATTAAATTTGGAATTGAGCTGAATCCTTGAGGTATCATGCCGCTGAAATTGTTGTTTGTAATATTTCTGTTTGAAGGTTGATCATAATAACAAATTATCAGATAAAAATTCATGAAAGGAAAATTAGCAGTCATATCAATATGTGGGAAGCTACTTACAGTGTTGCAAGGCTTATGTTGCTGAGGACATCAACTGTGCCTGATAGTTGATTATTTTGCATATAACTGCATAGCAGGCAAGAAGAAAACAATCAGAACCATGAAAGAGAAATACAAATGGGGGAAGATCTGAATACTTACAGGCTAGAAAGTTTTGACAGAGAGCCCATTGAGAAAGGAAGATTCCCCGTCAGGTTGTTGAAAGATACATCTCTGTAAGGATTTTAGCATAAGATGAATTCATAGGGTTTAAGAGCAGCTAATCTTATATTGTATTAACACTAATAAAATTATCATCATCCTCACTTGAAAATGGATACTCCTTCCAGTCAAAATAAGTCACCCTAGGATCCATGCGTCAAACTATTTTAATTTTCACCAATAATGGCTATATGATTGTTAGATTGTCCGCATGAAAATGGTATCAGTAAATTTTCTTGAAAACCTCTTTTTATAGATTCAACAGATACCTCCTATGATTGGAAATAGAAGTCCATCTAGCTTTGTCCTAAGTCAAACTAGTTTGACTTTGACCATCAATTATCCAAAAATTTATATAGATTTACAACACAAGATTGTCATTACTAGATTCATTATAAAATCTAGTTTTATAATATGGTTCTCCTCTTAGTGAAATAAGTGTTCAGGTGCGTTTGTTTTATAATATAAATAAATTTTCCTTTCAGATACTATTGTTAATTGGAGTCTTTTTTTTTAACTTAAGACAGACGTAGACGGGCTTACATTTGTTATCAAAAGAAGTATGTTGCAATTTTATTGGTGGCAATTTTATATTTTGAATATTGTTTTTGTGCTCAAAATTACACTTATTTTCTGAAGAGGACATTCAATACTGAAATAGCATGTGCATGATTAATAATTTCAACCACACAATATTCAAGTCAAGTTTGCATACGAAAACAACAGCTCAGTAGTCCTTACAGTTCTGAAAGTGAATTGAGGCTTCCAAATAGTTCACCAATTTCCTGAAATAATGAGTTGTGGCTGAGATTGCTGCACACAGTGGTTCATTGCAGTTAGATTGTGTTAACTAAAAAGATCATCACAGAAGAAATTACATCTTTGCAATGGACAGCAACTCACAGGTACTCAAGTGAAACCAAGTTGGATATAGAGTACGGAAGATTACCAGAGAAGTTATTGTTTGCCAAATTCCTGCGTTCGCTTTGAATCAAATTTCAAGAATCAAATAGCATGAATAAACATGTACAGGTTGGGAAGCCTTACAGATAGGTAAGGTTTGATGGCAACTGGTAAGGAATTGAATCATGCAAGTAGTTGTTGCTTAAGTCCCTGCAAGTTTAGAAATGGAAGATATAAATTATGAAAAGGACACGAGAAAACTGAACAACTATAATCTTAAGTGTTAGCTCCTACATTGTTTTCAGTGCCTGTAGACTTGACAATTGATAACCAAGAGTACCATTCAGCTCCATACCATAAAGTTTGCTGCAAAGCGTGGAAAGAGGCAGAGTACTTCAGTTTTGAGCATCTCCAGTTGAGGCAACAGATAAGTTCATCTAGCAAGGATTTTGAATAGGAAAATGAAAATGATAGAGTCCACATGCATTTTGAAGGAAATATTTCTATACAGCAAACTTCATTTGTATACTAAACCAGTTCTGAATAGCTTAACAAAGCATATGTGAAGATATTGTCAAGGGCAATTTTGCTTAAAAAAACTATGAATTTCAGTTAATTATGCCGAACAGCATTTACTATCTTACCGGAGCAGAACAACACAATGTATGACCATAGGTCCATAGCTCTCATCATAGCAAGCATGAAAAAGCAGTGCGTTATATCTATATATTATCTCCAGGACCAGTACAGTGTGCTGATCGTTATTATAATATCCATTTGGCCATAACAGCAGTGGTGACCCATTTTTTTCGTGGAAAAGCAGGGCAGCAGCAGCAGCAGTGGATGGATGTACTTGTAAATGCTAGGCACCACTAACAAACTTTTCAGCAAGCAGCATGAGAGAAAAGGTTCAGATAATTGATCAGAGGCTTTCCGTGCCCCTTTTTTTTGGAAGGAGCCGGAGTGAAGTGAGAGAAGAAAAGAGTAAACACCGACGTTTCCATAGTCATACTAGATAGAATCGAGGGAATGCTTGCTTCAGGCAGCCGAGGGAATGCAGTGTGGTGTCGGCAAAGCTTAATTCCTCTCCCTCTCTGCTGTGCTGCTGGCTGCAGTGTGTGTGTGGTGTGGGTACAGCGTGGGTTCCGGGCGGATGTATCTAAAAATGCAGCTGGGAGAAGAGAAGAGAATGGAGAGGTGGAGAGCTAGGACGGGCGGCGTGATTGTCACTACCACCAAATGTGGAGTGCGACCGGGGTCTCGCATACGCTGCTGAGGACGATTGCGAGCTCTAAACAACTCGAAAAAGTGGGCGATCGGAATGACGGGTGCCGGATCCCCGGGATTGATTAGTTTTCGTTGGGTGGAACATCAGAAAAAAAACATTAGTCAAGCATGCTGGGCCCGCTCTAGGCTCCAGCACCCCCAAAAGGTTGTTTCATGTTCATCATGGGGGGCAAAGCCAAACCGACGCCTCTTCTTCTTCGCAGACAGCAGATAGCTGAAACGGACGAAGGAACAACGCGGTTGCGGTACTGTAACAGACAGTGTACGTCCAAACGTCTAATTGCTGTCTAAAAGAGCCAGATGAGTTTGACTTCACCTCACCTTGTGGAACATGTTGGTACTGCGCCTGAGTACTCCCTTCTACGCAGTACTCCTGCATAATACAAACTCGATTCGATCAGTCTGTTTTATACCAGGCTCTGCTACTAACTAGTGCGTCGAAAGTTGGCATCATAGCAGCAAGTGACGGCAACCGTCCTGACTCGTGCACGTCCTGCTAGACATGGCATGTGCCGAGGCAAATCTGACGCCGACGCTTAAGCCCGGCGCACCAATCAGCTCACCACTTAAGCAAGGTAATCGAGCGGCCGTGACTTGGGTGGCCTGTGGCCACCTGAGCGGTGGCCCTGCTGCCCGTGACAGGTAGGGCCCCCTCCCAACAAAGACCGCAGCGCCAGGCAAAGCGAGCTTCCGGTTTGTCCTGCACTGTGGCCATTCGCCCATTCCCCAGTTCGCCCCCGCTGATCGCCTGATCCAGACGGGTGCGCGGGCAGCCACGGCATGTGGCGTTCCCTCGCGTTCCAGCGTCGTTTACTCTCGATAGGTCGATTGGGTGCGCTAGCAGCCAGTTTTACAGCTGAATCCATTCATTCCGTCCGCGCGTCTGCTTTGTCGGCGCTCGGCGGTCTCCCAAGTCTCATCTCATGGCCGGCCGGATGTCGCGCGCGGCCTTGGGCACGTACGGAAAGGGGAGGTATCACTCGGCGGCCAACGCATCATCAAGCGACAAGGTTCAAGCCGTGATCCAGGATTCCGGATGGGACCTGACCAGTGACCACACAGTCCAGTAGTCCACACTCCACAGTGATGTGGGGCGACGACGCGCACACTCCACAGTGATGTTTCTCTCTCTCTCTTTTTTTTTGAAACACACTCTAGTCTACAGTGATGTGGGACGACGACGCGCGAATCATTGGGTTCTTTGCAGCGGAGCGGACGAGGCTCACCGCTCACCTACTTCACGGGCGATGATCACTCTGAGACGTACACTACCGTTGCTGCTTGAAAAGCCACGTCGCAACTACTGGACTACGAAAGGAAAGGAAATGCACGAAAACGGAAGGACTGACGGGAGGGAATGCCGGAATGGGCGCTGGGGTTTTCAGCTCTCAGGTCACCAGATAGCAACGCGCAACTGGAATGAGAGCGCAAATTATGGTCAACCAAATGTAGCACATGAATGTGCAGTTATTTAACGTTGGAAAAGACTTGCGATCGACCAGACCCCATTATGCAGCAGCACCAAGAAGGAATGCCAACGACATATAACTTGTTCACATATGAAAGCTGGACAAAGAACTCACCTTGCAGATCGCAATCGTCCGGACATCAGTAACCGCAATAGGGAATGAATTGGCCATCTGGTGCAACCAACGTTGTCCACAAGTGCCGACATTCTACCAACCAGGGGGATGAGATAAGAACAAGAGGGCACTTTAACCCACCAAACGCTGAAGGAGACAAGCAGGCCAAGTAATACGTACTGTACTATATGCTTTAGATGAATATAAAGATGTGGGACACCCAGATCTCACTGTTTTACACTCCCAATACCAGAAGTAGCTACTGGATGACCAAGCCTTATAGAAGGTTAAAAGCCAGGTTTGATGAGAAACAAAAATGAAGGAACAGCAAAGCAAAGGAAGGTGATAGCTTCAGATGCCTAGCGTGTTTGATGGAATAGGGTCGGCACGTGTTCCCCTGAGTTAGACCGACTGAATGATCACCGAGTTGGCCACGCCGGCTTCCTCGATGGTCTTGGTCGCGTCCTCAAGCGGCTTTGGGGGGAACCCGGCCTGCAGCGTGTAATCACTGGCTTCTGGCCTTGTCGCGTCGATAAATGCCCGCACGTCGCTAATTGTGTGGCTTGTGTTGAAACGGGCAACCAAGCGACTGCCGTCTGCGAACCTGATTTGGAGGGAGGTTGACGGCAAAGCATCGTCCACTGTGATTGTCCGAGGAGCAGTTACAATACTGGAAGCAGCAGCATTGGAAGTATTATTATCAGAAGGTTCCATGAGGGTTCTTCGTTCCCCTTCAAAAGGAGCAGCACGCTTGACTGGCTCCTGTTACCAAGGCAGAGATAGATACCGTTAAGGTTAGATACTTGAACAACTGATTGAAGCAATCTAACATTTCAGGCTGATGATACTCACAGTAAATTCTTCTTCCTTCCGGACAAGATTCACATTCACCTTAGATTTCCCATCAGCCGGCTCAAGCTCAGTTGGGCAGACAGAATCCTTAATGCTCTAGTAAAAAGAATACGAGGGAATAAAGAAACTAACATGCAATGCCACAAACTAAACAAGAAAGAATAACAACCGAAGGAGATAACAAGTATCAAGAAGACACGATAAAAGGCAGTAAACGACAATGCACCAAAAATATCTTATTAATGTTGAAACATACATTATCCACCTTTCATCTATAGCTTAAGCCTTTTATTTCTAGTGCAGAGCCAAGAGGCCCCGAGTTTGCAACACGACTTAAGCAATTTAGGGAAAAAATACCATGACTCTCTTCCACTCCATTTTGAATACCTGGTGGAACCTTCAGATATGAGGTAAGTGCTTAAGTATATATAACTCAATAAGAATAAGCATTTGCTTAATCCCTTGGCCTATGCCTGAATTGGTTGGTTCATAAAACTTGACAAATATAGGTCAAAGTGTTACTTCCATTTTTAAATTAGGTTGAGTTATCATTTCCTAACCAGATAACAATTCAGGCGTGAATAAGACTTCGCTGAGAAACAGATTTCTCAACACAGAAGCAATCTGCCCCCTTGTGGGAAATTTGAGGCTACTGGTTATTAAAAATTTCCCTCTCACCTACCAAACAGCTCCTGCCCCATTCATATAATAATTCGGAGACCAGTCTAAAAAGCAAACCATTATGATGAAAACCAGCAGAGAAGTAATAATACTTGTTCCAAGTGAAAAGAAAATACAGTTCCATATGATCCCTTGATTCTTCTAACTCATTAATTACTCAGAAATCTATTATTCAATATAAAGTCTGACACACATCGTACTGTACTGGGCTATGTGCCAACAGGACAAAAACATTAACTAGAAGTACCATTCTGGATTGAAAATAAGGGTGAACACGCTATATATATGTTTGAAGAAAAGATGGGTGGTGCCTCACATAAAATTAGGCATAGTAAAGCAGAAATGTGATAGGCGCAGTACCACAGAACAGAGTTCTTTACCTTTAAAAAAGATGCATTTGCTGGATCATCGAAACTTCTAAGTGGGCCATCGTTTACTGTGAAGCCATTCCTCCAGAAGTAGATGTTATGGACAATTTCTTCAGGTGGCTGTGGTGCATCACGCTCTACAGTTTCACCTGTCAGAAGTCTGCCAGTCCCAGTAAAGTTCCTCGAACTAGATCGCCGGCGAGCCTCAAACGGACCTTGCTTAGCCCCCTTCCTTTTAGCTTGCTTGAATACCTCATCCGTGTTGTTTTTACGTTTTGATCGATCTCTAACAACCATTCCACTGAAGACAAAAGAAAAAAATTAAGCATAAAATATAGATGACTACTAGTATATCAAGGGTGCACAGCATATGATTAAATTACTGACCATTGCTATATAATTTGTGTAAGAATCAAAAGCATGGATCCCGTGCCAATATACATTAGAGTAAAAAAGAACTGTGACTAAAAAGTCAGTACATGATAAAACAAACACCATCAGACTGCTTCCACTCTTTCATCTACAAGATTCTACATTACAGCTTCCAAACTTGTACAGTGTACAAATCAATGAGGCAAGTCAGAACTGGAATCCTGGTTAGTTTAACGATGAAAGAAGTGGCAAGCAAAGACGAGATCCTGCCAACTTCAATGGTGTTGTAATGCTGTTGATGAGAATATAACTTATTTTTCTCAGAAAAGGCATGATATGATATGGAAACAGTTGAACAAAAAAAAAAAGGTAACTGTTGAGGGGGTTGACAAGTTGTTACTATCTTACAACAGAACTAGGACTATTCCAACTTCCTCCTGTTTAGCTGAGGCAAGCACCCAACATGCAATTTGTAATAGGTTAATTGCAGAATGCTGAATTCCACGACTCAAATAGATCCCCAAAAAATGGCTGATTGCAAAGCAACCAAGAACCCATCAGCATTCAAAATTCAAATGTTGTTCTTGCTTTAATATGATAATGAAGAAAAGATCCAAACTAAGGAGTTAAATCTAAACAAGTACAACCAGAAAGATATCAACTATCCCTGAACCTGATAACTGATCAGCAACACATAAAATAGATTGCCATCCAAGAAGCTTAACATTTAGCAGGGCTCACCAATTCAACCTGCTTTCATCAGTAACTAGTTGTCATACTAAAAGTTTCCAGGGGTTTTGGCTCAGGCCATCGCTTTAATCCGTTAACAAGTCATTTAAGAGCCCCACTTATGCGCCACATGGCATTCTCTTCGCATGAGCTAATTTCTGCCAAGCCCTAGCCCACCTAAACACTTGTCAGGCTGCAGGTGGTGCCCTGCCACTCGTCTATCACCTAACTTTTTTACAACAATGAAGGCATGCATTTTAAAGATCCAAAGCATGTTATCATTCTTAACTACTTAGTACCTAAACCACCAGGATTTCATGAACATATCATGCTATGGACATCTTTGCAGTAGCTGCCCTGTGCTGTGCCACAGTGGTTTTTAAGCTGCTGTAAAAAGCAGTATTTGGAAAGTCCAAAAGTAAGTTCAGACAATTATATTAGGGTAAGTTCTATCATACAATTGTTGGTCCTCACTGGGGTTAACTTGGGTAGTCTAATACACATTAATATCTTCATTTGCAACCTAGATTAAAAGGAACACAGGTCTTAAATATCTAAAAGCAGATGTACCAAACAAGATATCATAATCCACCCAACGCTAAACAGAGGTTAGATGTCAACAATCAGGACAAGAAATTCTATTTCAGGCCAACTGAGTTGGCCTCCAGTTCAGCTGGTCGCACCCTTGATATAGTTGTGGGACGGCCAGCTGGAGTTCAGTTCAAACCCCGATCTCCTTTGCTTCCAGGTGAAGCAGGGTGCTAATCTAGCCTCTGACCCCTCACTTGAATGATTTCAGAACTCAAGTCTACTGCTAAGAATAATGAGATCATGCTATGCATTCCCATCAAATTTTGTGAATGTTACCTTCACAAATAATTTACTCTTAGGTTTTTCTAGCTAGGGTAAACCAGTGGCTTCTGATTGCTGCATAGCAAGCCTAAGCAACTCTAAAATTGGACATATTGTTAGATACAGGCTAGATACCCAAGTTTTGGACCTCTTTTCTCATGATTGTAAGTCAAAACGAACACATAGCCCTCCAGAACAGTACCAATCATAATGTCTAGCACCTTATCATTAAAACATAAACTCCTAGCCTATGGAAGGTCATTGCACCATTATCAAAAGTGCTGCAACATGGTCTGCATTGTTTATTTGTGGCTAATGGCTAGTGTTATTAATGTTGAAGAACAAATCAAGCAATCTAGAGGAACTAGAGATGAAGAACAAATCAAGCAATCTAGAGGAACTAGAGATCAAAACACCTCCATTGAGCAGAGTATGAGTCAGATTTAAATGCAGCAAATTGGGGATTAATCAGAAACACGAAGGCATCCCCACTTCAAGCACATTTAATTATAGCATCATCCCAACACAAACACATTTAATTATAGCAGCATCTCAACATAAGAACAATTAATTATAGCATCATCCCAGCAGCAACCCATTTTGAACTTAAACAAGACAATCTAAAACCCTAGAGATGAGTACCTCGATCTAGTTGGGAAGGAGACCACTATCCCAACCCTAGAGATTAGAGATTATAGATCACCTCGTCTCGCCGCCAGTGAAGTACTCGGGCGGTGGTGCCCATTCATCGTCGTCTTCGGAGTTCTCGTCGGACCCCGCGGTTCCCTTGCCACCACCGAGATCGGAGAGCGTCCTCACATTCCCCCGCGCACTCGCACCACCCGCCCTGGCCCTGCTGCCGCTTCTGCTACCGCTCCCACCCCGCGTGTCGTGGCTTCTCTTCTGCCTCTTCACAGGCCGCCTCCTCTCCTCTTCCGCCACGGCCTCAGCGGCGAGCGCGGCGTCCTCATCGTCTCCGTCGTCGCCATCGACGTAGTCTTCATCATCCTCGTCCTCGCCGCCGCCGCCGCCGACCACGTAATCCTCATCTTCGGTGTCCTCCCCACCTCCGGCAGGTGCAGCTGGTGGCGGGGGCACTGGATCGGCCGCGCCGGCGTCGGCTTCGCCGTCCGCGGAGTCGTAGTAGGAGCGGACCGCGGATTCCAGGGCCCAGTTGTGGCTCTCGAGGTAGAAGGCCGCCTCCTGGGGGGTCGCGGAGGTCACGCCGCAGAAGGACTCCACCAGCGATTGCGCGGCCGCTGCCGTCGGCGCGCGGCCTGCGTCCCCGGCGGCCATCTCGCCTGCGGCGGCCGCGTGTCGAGATGGTCTGGCGGCTGGGGCCGGGTTTGGGCCCTTTTTGCTTCTTTTATAATTCGTTTTTTCCACTTGTTTTTTCAATCAGAATAATATTTTTTTCTCACGACAAATCAACCGAAACAGAATTTCAGTTTTTTTCAGCGAAACAAAAAGAGTGTGTTGGAGCTTCGCCGTCTCATTTTTTCCTTTTTCCATTTTTTGGTGCTCTTTTATTTTGACCTTCTGCGTCAGGGCCATGGGCCTTAGGCCGTGGCATGCGAAAGGGTTGGTTGTGCGCAATAGCAAAATGCAGGCTTTCGAGCGAAATGGTTGGGCTCATAAGATTTAAGATTTATAGTCAAAAAAGTCAATATTATCTTCTTAACTTTTGCGAAAGTCTACCTTTCCTTCATAAACTCTAAAATCAGGTAAACTATCTCTCTGAACTTTTAAAACCATTCATTTTACCTCCTGACAGGTTATAAGCGGTTCTCAAAGATGGTTTTGTCTTTTTCTTTTTTATTTATTTTGGCTAAATCTTTAAAAAATCATAGTAAATCATAGAAAATCATAAAATGAAAAATCTAATTTTGTTGAACTCCATATGAGTAGATCTACAAAGTGAATATATGGTATGCTTTAGTATAATTTTTTTGCTGTAGCTTCAGATCTATTCTTTTCAATAATTAATTCATAGTTATAGTTTCTATGTTTCCAATTGTGATAAAATTTTTATGGTAGACTAATTATTGTATGCTTGAACTATAGTAAAAATTACATACCCATTGAATCATGTATAACTTAGTTATAGATTTATTAGCTACAAACCGGTTGAATCGGCCGGTTTTTCATCAAACCGGTGAACCTGGGCGGTTCCATATGAACCGGTGGGTTTTTTATTTTTTTCAAAGTTACCTCTCTGTGCACTCAGGACAACCTTATCTACTTAGGGGCATTGATGTGCATCGGTAAAAATGAGTCCTTTAGGGTTGTTTGCTGGGTGAGGGAGGGGAAAAATTTCACTTTTATCCTTTTCGTGGTCATTTTGGGCGGCACCTGGCGGCTGCTGCCTCCTCCGGCAGTAGCGGCACGCAGCGTAGCCGGGGCTCGGTCACTGGGTGCGGTGCTTGGCAGAGAGCGGGTGACGGCATTGTCAGGCAGAGCAAAGGGGAGTCAGAAGGGAAGTGGCAGCATCGCAGAGCAAAGCGAGGGGCCGAGGGGGGCTCGATGTCATGTCTGGGTGGGCGGATTCGGCGGGCCACCATGGGAAGGAGTGGCCACGGTGAGCGGCAGACAAGGAGCCGCCTCGGGCAGATCTGCAGATCTTGTTGCACCCCACTGTGGCAAGGCAAGGAGCCAAGGACAACGAGCAGCGGGCGGATCCAGATTCCTGCTCTGCTTTTTCAATCTCTGGCTTCTAGACAGCACCTCCACTCCACGACATGGCTGCTAATGGTGAGCTTGTCTAATATTTGTCTGCATTTATTAGATGACAGCACATCCACTCCATGACACTATATGGCCTGCATTTATTTGATATTTGTCTAGTGAGATTTTTATATGCTTTCAATAAGATTTTTTAGATATATTCAGTAAGATTTTTTAGATATATTCAGTAAGATATATGGCCTGCATTGCTTTGTTAATTGACTGATAGAATAGAAACATGGCTCTGATTATTGATTAATGTCATAGAAACGTAAGGTTATACATGCACTGATATGTATTTTCTTTTGCACACAATGAACTCCGGTTGACAGTAACCGGAATTCAACACCTTCTACTCAAGGGCATCCACAGAAGTAAAGACAAGAAGGAAATCTGATCCAGCATGGGGATATTGTACACAGTTCACTGAAGGAGGAAAAAAGAAGATCAAATGCATGTTCTGTAATGATGTATTTGCAGGAGGAGGGATCCATCGTTTCAAGGAGCATTTAGCCAAATACCCAAGTAATGTGGCGCCATATAAAAAGGTGGATCCTGAGGTTGAGCATGCAATGTTTCAAAACATTGAAGATTGGAAAGAAAAGAAAAAGAAGGCACAGCAGGACTATGAGAAAGGGAAAGCTGCTAGTCTATTCTGCAACTTGAAAATAATATTAGTTGTAGGTAGCAACCTCACTTTAGGATTGTTGGTTACTGTCAAATATTAATGTCAATTGGATAATAGTCCTCATTGTTTTCTTGTTTGAATTATTTGAACATTAGGTCCAAATTCAGTATAAGAAATTATGATCCAATAAGTTTGGAACAAATTGGAAAGGGAAATGAAGCTTGGATCTTAGAAGACAATCCATCTCGCCTTAACTCGGAAGAGCTGAACGTCTTTCATAGTGAACTGTCCGCACTAAGTGTACAATGAAGTGATGGTAATGTCTCTTGTCAACTGTGAAATCAGTTCAACATACATACATTTTTTTCTCATTTAACATCATATCTATATTGATAAAAAAATCAGAATTGGTGCTAGACTTGGATGTTGTTGAGGCTGATGCCATGGAAGCAAGTGATGAGATTCAGGACATTCGAAACCTGGAAAGAGAGGAAGATCTATTTGATTAGGATGGTATTGCACTTGATGTTGGTGGACCAAGTGATGATGCACTTGAAGATGAATGGGATCCCCTGAATTTTGATTGAGTACCATCTACCATGTGTTCGGTTGTGTGTTTGGAACTCTTAGCATGTCAGTATCTTATCAGTTATCACGCACTTGATATTTTGTATTAAAGAACCTGCGAGGTTGTGTTCCTGTGACTCTGTGACTGTGAGCCGTGATTCTATATTTTCTGTATTTCTATAATGTATGAAGTATGAACTATATATGAAGACGAAAGTTATGTTATTGTCATCAGGCACTTGATGTTTTGAATTATGAACATGTCATTCTATATATACATATGTATGAACCTTATAGTTGTGCAATTAAATTTATGTTGTTTATCATATGTCAATTATTAATTATAGCATATATAATTTTGTGACCGGTTCAAACTATTTGTGACCGGTTCGATTTGTGCGGTCTAAAACAATTGAACCGGCGGTTCAATCGGTTCGAAACGGTTGGACTAGTGAACCAGTGAACCGAAGGCCTCGCAGGTTCGATCTCCGGTCCGGTCGCAATAACTATGGTTTCCACTTTGAAGGGAATGTGACTACCCAAACTTCCATAAGACGAAGGTAACTATTAATTTGGTACAGATTTGACACACGCATGATCTGGCTTTCAATCACAAAGACCTAAACCGTGTAACTGTTGCACGACGATCAACCGTGCACTAGCTTGTTGACCTTGCCACGAAGACTAATCCCTACCCGCGAATCAGAACACAAGCAAGAACAAGATAGACACAACTCAAATTGTATTAGAATGATTAAGGTCACAAGTTAGGCTCCCGGAGATTAGATTATCGTACTAAAACTCTTAATTGGCCCTTCTTGAGGAGTGAAGTGAGTGATGTCCTCAATTCCTCGACAACTACCACACCTCTTCTTTTGTCTCCCAATTTGTCGTCCCTTGCTCCCACTCTTCTCGTAAAACGCAGGTGGCATAGACCCACGGTAGGCTCGAACAACAAACATAGACCCATAGCTGGAATACGAAGCCCGAAAGTTTGTTTCCTCTTCTCAATTTCATGGGTGGCAAATATAGACCCATGGCAGGACCAAGTGGGAAACATCTCTCGTTCCACCTTTCTTAATATCTCAAGTTACAATAGGTGCACACACTAGACACCCCTTTAACCTGAGTTCATTTTTCATAGGAGAATAGTCCTTTATTGCACCTATTATTTTATTATAGTCCTTATCGATTTAATCAAAATAAAAAGGTTGGGCCAAACCCAATGAAATTCTAGAAGATGTATTTTGTTTGACAAGGCGGGTCCATGTGACCGCGCAATAAATCGTACATCTTGTTAGCACATGAACATATTTACTACTCCCTTCGTTCCAAATTATGAAACGTTTTAGCATTTCTAGATACATAATTTTTGCTATGCACTTAGATATACACTATGTCTAGGTACATAGTAAAGAATTTATCTAGAAAAGCCAAAACGTCTTATAACTTGGAATGTACAGAGTAGTTATTACTCCCTTCGTCACATGAAAGATCCAATTCTAGCTTTCTAGCAAGTCAATCTATCTCAGCTTTGATATATCCAAAAGATAACAATAATAATGATATTAAATATTATAATTAGATTCACATTAAATATATTTTCATATAATATTAATTTAGAGTCCTAAATGTTAATAGTGTTTTCTATAAACTTAGTCTAACTAACTCAGTTTCAGTCTAGAATATGTATATTTTTTAGACAGAGATAGTATCTATAAAAGACAAGAGAAACGCAAGAGACTATCAAATCTTGAACTAATTTTATACCTCATGAAGATTAAAATGTTGAGGAATCGGTTCTGTAATGCACACACATAAACACAGAGAGAACACATAGATATATGAAGAGGACAGGAGCTCTTTATTTCATTCACTAGTTTCAGTTACTGCGGTACTCCTATTAATAGAGTCGGTGGGCAGGTAGCGCTCATCAGATTCTCCCGTTAATCACCCTCCCACATGGGTCATTACACATCCCTTTCTTTTTGTCCTTTTGTGATTAGCACCCACGTGTTCCAACAGTGACACCCACATATTGAGGTTTTCACAAAAAAACCCAAGGATCTTTAACTTTACAATGTAAAATTCTCACCACAAGTCTACAACATGTTTTTTTTTTTGCTTACAACACGAGATTGTAAATACCTACAATACCAGTATACCACGTTGTATGACATAAACGAAACCTATGCACGCCCACTAACGAGACTGTACAACACACATTTACAAGGGCTGTTGACACGGGCAATCACAGATTCACGTATCAAAATTTACACACATCATACAAAAATCGCTATCATACACAGGCGTTGAGGCGTACATGCTCAACGCTCCCGTGCCAGCAGCCCGGTTCACGCGAAAAAAGGCCAAAACA